CGTTGCATCGATTACGTTAAAATTCCACGCTAACGCATCGAGATACGGATACGTTTCGTATAGCAGAAGAAGAGGAGGAAGAAAAATGAAAATCCAGAACATCGACTTAAATAGCTTCTCAAAAAAAACATGGACGACATGCAAATTAACGATAATTATCTTTTTAACGATAAAACCGAAGTTAAGAAGTTATCGGAAAGCAAGCGTTTCGAGCACGTAACCCGAGCCCCGTGTACCTCGAAGACAAACACGTCTTAAGCCGTGTCGTAAACACGCCGCGATTCCGATGTTCTTAACATCTATATACATTTGCATACACGTTCCAGAGGCCCCGTGAATCGTAACTCACGTTAACCGTGGCCACATCTCGGTTACGCGTCGGCGGATACACGTACGCCGTGGCCCGTATCAATTAGTCCCTTAATGCCGAACGATATCGATTCTAACTACGCTACGATCGAGAGCTCTGTCCATCCATCCGTGGACAGAGTTGACGCTTCGACCGTAAAACCGACCCACGCTTTTTCCTCTCCATTATAATTCTATTCCATCGGCTGATTATATTCGCGCGGTATAAGGATAAAGACACGGTTGCACCGCGACAGTTGTAAATCAGACGAGGCTGTTGGCCCTCGAGAGAATATGGTTATCGTCCTCGGCTCGATGGCCGGTAACCACGATTATTACCGCGTCGCGGAACGGATATCGCGGGGAGGGTTTTTACGCGAAGAAGAACGAAGGGTTTCGCTACGCTTCTCTGTGATTTCGAGCGGTCAATTTGGTACAGTTTGTATTTAGTTGCGCTTTGTACTCGCTCGAAGAGAGTCGTCGTAAAAATTTCGAGGTCTCGTTTAAATCTTGTTGCCCGAGGAGAGATATCGACACACCTCTGCTTCGACATCGTGCACGAACGGTTAACGCGAAAATGATGAGGAAGCGGCACGGCACCCTCTTTTTTTCCAGCGACGGAGGAGGGGAAAAGGGATCGCGTGAGAGGTGGCATAGGCGCGATAATAATAGATCGAGAAGGTGAGGCGGGGAAAATCGCGCGCATTAATTTGACGAATTATTGGTGTTTGGATAAACCGGTCTCCCTTCGATCTTGGACGAATGGAGAAGAACTTACGAAAGAAGCGGAGAAACGTCGTGGCCGTCGTTATTTCTGCCACGCGAACGAGCGATCGTAAGTAGTTGGTCAAGTTGGATTGACGGTTAGATCGCTGGGTGTCGAGATATCGGGGAACGTCCCGATCGTTTGTCCCGATATATTTTATATACGCGCGATGGATTACATTTTAGACGCCTGGATCGTGTAGCCGGATTCTATCGCATCTTTCAGCTTTACGTACGTGTTTCGAAATCGACTCCCGTTTAAAAACCCGGTTGTTACGACGTACTGTCACGAGTGTGTATAAATCGATACCGCGCGTTCCCCGAGCGAATCGGTCGAAAAAATTGTTAACGACCGATCAACGTTTCCACCCGGGAAGAAGAACGATACGAAAGGAATTTGCATCGAAGAAGGGAGTAAACCGTTAATTAAACGGGGCGATTCCGTTCTAAATCCTAATTGCATCCACGAAATTCCGCGAACGACGGCATTCTTTTCCGCTTACGAAAGAAACGGCGAATTATCGCGAGTCGTAACGGTAAAAGTGGCGCCGCGTCCGGGGCTCGGCGACAATTAAGGACAGGGCAAATATCGTGGTGGTAGGGTACACGTCGTTAAGCCACGACGCCTCCAAAATATTCCTGTAATGAAGAATAATGCACGGCTGCCGGAACGAACCCTCCCTCCCCGAAGATGTCGTCGTCCTTCCTCCCCCTCCGTCTCGCCTGTTTCCGCGCCATTCGCCTCTCACCTTCCGAAAGGATATACCAACACAGGTTATTATACGTGTGTGTATATATATATATATATATCGTGATACGAGGGAGAGAGGCTTCCTCTTAGCCGAGCATTTAAACGGTCCACGCAATTAGGAAAGGCGCTTCGCGCCTCATCTTTTATTCATGCCGGTTGCACGAGCATGCGGCCTCTTCCTTGCCTTCGACTCCCCTCCCATTCTCGAAAGATTAAAACCGAACCACGCCGATCCACGGCCCGGACATATTAAAACCTGGCCAGCCAGGTTTCACCTTCGATCGGTGTGCGTGCATCGAGGTTTCTGCGGATATGGGTCGGCCCCTGCTGGGCAGGCGTCGTCGGGATGCTTTGTTCTTCTCGAGCTGTTGACACGTAATGGGAGGTTCTCGGGTTACCATTCCTCTTGTCCGTCCTTCCATTTCACGAGCTAATAATTTTTATTATCCCCGGCGACACTGGTTCAAGGGTTTATTTATCCAAGGATTTGGATTATTATTATTTAGCTTCCCTCCTTTCGATTATTGTAATTGGAATTCGAAGGGTTAATTAGCATAATTAATTTGAACCTTCCGTTCCTTGTTGAAATAGAGATGTAAACAACAACCGTTGTTTGTTATTATCGTTCTTTATATATATATATTTATATACAATTTCAATTTTCGAGCTATGGCAATGGAAATATTTATTCGAAAACATATATATAGAAAAATAAGAGAGAAAGGATTTACACGTTTTACACGTTCCTTTCGATCGACGGTGAAATTTAATTTAATTATCTTTATTGCCTTTCGTTATTACTATTAATTATACGTAACAGAGAGAGAGAGAAGGCGGAAAATACCGTTGAAATCCTGACCGAAAGTTGCCGGGCAACCCAGGTCGTCCCAGGGGTTGCCAAGTTTCGCGGAGGGTACCAAGATTTCACGGTGTTACGATTATTATTCCGCTCGTTTTTAATTTCGAACGAGCTTTCGCAGCGCTGTTTGTTTTCTTTAACGACGATTGAAATTGCCCCTCGGAAAGAGGAACGAACAACGAACGCGAATATTTTCAAGCTTTTAAAAAAACGTCCTCTCCCAAGAAGAAGAAGAAGAAGAAGAAGAAGAAAAGTTTGGCGAAAGCGTTTGTCACGTCGGTTTTATGGGGAAAATATGAAACGTTTTTTTGTCGCGGTTAACGGGTTCACGTGACAAAGGTGATTTTCAAACTTTCCAAGTATCGCTTATATACACTTACACTCCCGGCTATCTGCTCGCTCCCATTAAGTAGTTAAACTCGTGTTTTTTGTCCCCTTCTTTTTTTCCCTCCCTTCTCTTCCCTCCATCGCCCTCAAGAGTGTATTTAACGTGCAGGATCAAGAGGGAGCAAGAGCGAGTCGGAGGAAGTTGGGTCGGTTCAAATTTATTATATATTGGAATAACGAAAGTATTAAAAGTTGAGGCGACGAACGTGGGCCGATATCGGAATTTAGTTCCGGGAGCGGGGTTGGGGGGGGGGCGAATGGAGAGGATATCTTGGCGTTTAATTAATTCGTTACGTTGCGTTGGGGGAGGTATCGAAAGGGTGAGGTGAAAAATAGGCGCGGTGGAGGGGAGGGAGGGAAAGGTCGAGATGTCGAAGTTGGCGGAATCTCGCTAAGAATGCCGCGTCCGATTACACCCCCTCCCCGATCCTTGGAAACTTGTTGGAACGTGGCTGGAGTTACAATCCCCCCCCTCCTCTTCCCCTTGATTATATATATATATATATATATATATATATATATATATATACTTACTTACTTACTTACC